TTACAACACCTAGCGAGAGGCAATACACTAAGAGAGCTGCTGCAGCAGCGGGGGGCCCCCCTCAACGAACAAGAAGCAAAACAGCTGCTGCTGCAGCTTGCTGCTGCAGTGCATGCAGTCCATCGGCTTGGGTTTATACACAGAGATATTAAACCCGAAAATATTATAATCACCCAGCAGCAGCAACTCATACTCACAGATATGGGGCTTGCTGCTCCCACGCACCAGCTGCTGCTGCAGCAGCTGCAGCTGCAGCTGCAGCAGCAACACACTGCTGCAGCAGAAACAGAGGGGGCCCCCATACAACACAAACTACCACACACAATAGGGGGGGCCCCCATACCTCGACCCACCCACGCAGCACATTCAGGGGCCCCGCAGGGGAACGCTGCCAGCAGCTGCAGCAGCAGCAGCAGCAGCTGCTGCTGCTGCTGCAGCAGCTGCTGCTGCAGTCTGCATGCAAGTGATGTACGTACACTGCAACCAAGTGAAGGACCCCTTTCTTGCTGCAGCATTGGGGGGCCCCCTTCCCTCTCAGCAGCAAACACCTGCTGCAGCGAGGGGGGCCCCCCAAACCCCGAAGAAGCAGAGATGGACAGCAGCACGGGGGGCCCCCCCTCATTAGCTAGCTGGAGGCTGCAGCAGCTGCTGCATGCAGAAGAGGAAACAGCAGTGGGTACGATCCACTATATGGCTCCAGAGGTCGCGCTGGGGGGCCCCCTAATACACCCCAAAACCACCAACCAACAGGGGCCCCCAGGGGGCCCCCAATCCCCCATCAAACCAGGCAAACACGGGGGCCCCCAGAGGGGCCCCCAAGGGGGCCCCCAGCAATCACAGGGAAAGAACCAGGAGGAACCTCAAGCAGAGCCCCAAAAGGGGGCCCCAGAGGGGCCCCCAGCGGGGCCCCCAGCGGGGCCCCTCTGGGGGCCCCCAGAGGGGCCCCCAGAGGGGCCCCCGGAAGAGCGCCAAGAGGGGCCCCGAGAGGGGCCCCTAGAGGGGCCCCCACAAGAGGGGCCCCCTCAAGAGTGGCCCCTAGAGGGCCCCCCAGGGGGGCCCTCATGGGGGCCCCTAGGGGGCCCCGCAGGGGGCCCCCTAGGGGGGCCCCCAGGGGGGCCCCCCGATGAGGATTTGTTGGAGATGTGTAGGAAAGGGGATTGGTGGAGTGTGGGGGCTGTGCTGTATGAATGTTTGTTTGGGTTTCCTCCCCTGGGGCGTTTCTGTTTGGGGGGCACCAGGGGCCCCCCAGGTGATAGAGAGAAAGAGGTAGTTTATATAAATAAAAATATAAATAAAAAGAAGAGTGGTGATAGTAAGAGTAGTATTGATTGTAAAC